CTTTTCTGACCACTTAGGAAAAGAATATATCCAAGGCTGTACTGAACGCTTCTAAATTTAGACAACTGTGGGTCACCTAAGTACTGAATACAGTATTTTCAAAAGCTGTGAGAACAAAGCATACTTGAAACACACACAGGCCTATGACATTCAAATATATCTAATATTAATATAAAGAGTTAAGATTGGAAATTGAATCCAAAGTAGCAGCTCCACTCTCATGTGAACGTTTCTATTTAGAGATGTATGAAACTTTTGTCATGGAAGGCAGATGGATTAATGAAGACAGAACATTAGTTAGGACTTCTGATTAGCCTTTTTCTGATCAGAATAATGCACATGCTTGTAGACTATTTGGAAGACATAAAGAAGTATTAAGAATATAAAAATCACCTTTTCACATTTTGATACATTTTCTTTTAGTTGTATTTATATGTATTTTCACTTAAAAATTGTGGGCATAATGCACAGGAGGCTTGAGACAGCTTTAAAAATAATATATTCTGAAGTTTATGCCAAAAGGTATTCTTTTACAATAAGTTTCGAGTTTGTATAGATATTTTACAATTTATTGAACAATTTTCAGTCTATTTAAGTAGCTTTTGAGGTTTTGCTGTTAGAACACTGTAATAAATAAACATATGCAAATGTTTTGCCAGTGCCTCCATTCCTGTCTTTGGATAGATGTCACATTTGGTCTTTGGGAACTACTTTCCTAAGAATACATCCTTGATTTATAATGATAAAGTGATTGCTAATAAGTCCTCCTACTGGCAGAGCCCAACATCATCTTTACATATGCCCATTAGCCCTGAGTATTGTTAATGCATAGATTTAAAAACAATAAAAGCGCCAGTGACCTATAATCCTAGTTACTCAAGTGGCTGAGATCTGAGGATTGAGGTTTGAAGCAAGCCCAGGCAGGTAAGTCCATGAGACTCCTATCTCAAGTTAACTGCCAGAAAAAGCCAGAAGTGGTACTGTGGCTCAAGCGGTAGAGTGCTAGCCCTGAGCAAAAGGAGTCCAGGGACAGCACCCAGACCCTGAGTTCAAGCCCTAAGACTGGAAGAAGAAAAAACAACAACAAAGAACCCCAATAACCCAACAACAATAAGAAGCTATATATTATATTAATCCAAATAGATATGTCTACAATATGAAACAAATAAGAAAACAAGATACCATGAATTAAATTGTGTGCAAAAGAGGGAAGGTATTCTAATAATCCTTTCCTTTAAAATAAGTTATTGCTAGGTGTCTCAAACCTGTAATCCTAGGCTGAGATCTTAAGATCACGGTTTGAAGCCAGCTGGGCAGAAAAAGTCTGAGACTGCAACTAACCACCAGAAAACCCTAAGTGGTACTATGGGTCAAAATGGTAGAGCACTAGCCTTGAGCAAAAGAACTCAGGGACTGCACGTAGGCCCTGAGTTCAAGCCCCATGACTGACAAAATAAAATAAATAAATACCTGAACGATTCTGAGTGTATTTAAATAAGTGATACAGATAATATCCGGTGATTTAAGAAAGGAAGGGTGCCAGTTTGAGATAAGATCTGTAGAAAAGGGGGACTGTAGTTTTCTAGATTGAACATTGGCATAAAAAATCTCATCATAGTGTAGCAGCAAAACGGGTGCTGGAATAGTAAGTATATTAAAAGGATGTATAAATACATTAGATAAATAAAATCACTAGAAGCAAAGCACAGGAATGCTTGGCTAAAGAAAACTCAACGTTACTACTCCTCCAGACAACCCATAATCATAAACATTCCTGTTCTCATAGCTTTTCATTGACTTTTATACAGTCTTATCAGAAACATTTTCAACTTAGCCTATAGAAGTGCTGCCTGAAAACCAGGTCAGTTTTAGCAGTGTGCCATTTTTTCTGTTCAGCAATATCTACACAGATGTATTTTTGAGTACTTTACAGAACTGATAAGAAAGAGAATGAGTGGATAAAAGGTTCAGGTCTCCAAACTCCCATTTAATTGATGACAATAAACAAGATTGTTTCACATGGCATGCTTTTGGCCTCGTGTGGAGGCCAAAATTTCAGCTCATAATGGTATGTCAGAAAGGGGTATAAAGAGAGCAGGAAGACATTCCTTATTGCATGCAAGTCTATTTTTGGACTATTATTATTATTATAGACTTTTGGGTTGAGTCTTAGCCAAAGGTTTTTGTTTTGCTTTATTTTGGGTCCGGTTGTGGGCCTGAACTCTGAGCCTGGGTGCTGTCTCTCAGCTCTTCAGCTCAAGGCTAGTGCTCTACCACTTGAGCCACAGTGCCACTTCCAGCTTTTTTCTGTTTGCTTATGTGGTGCTGAGGAATCGAACCCAGGGCCTTAGGCATGCAAGGCAAGCACTCTACCACTGAGCCACCTTCCCAGCCCCTTAGCCAAAGGTTTTATTCCTAGTTATAACCATTAACTACACCCCAAAATGTCAATTCCTTCATTTGTAAATGGGATAATAACATTGCCTAGGCAGATAGGTGCCCCTCCTATATGACTGTTCCAACTTTTTCTCTATGAATCAGTCAAAAAGTGGCCTACATACTTCTATGTGTTTAGGCATTAGGAGCTCCATTTTATGTTATTCACATAATCACTTACCAGTACTTAAATACTTACAGCTAAGTTAAATCTAATATCACTGGTATTAATGTTAAAACAGATATTTCTTGGCTCCAAATGATTATTTATAGATACACAGAGTTTGCCAATAGAGCAAAAAAATACACCCCTGCTCCCAAGTACTGCCAAGTAACTTCCTAGATTATTATAGCTACATATGCTTTTATGGCCTTGTGCTTTTCCATTTTTAATCATTTGATATAACTCCTTTTTTTGACTAACTTCAGGCAAAATCTCCAAGTTTACTGTCAGCTTTTCTCTATTTTCTTCCACATCCTCTACAATTGATTTAAGGCCATGGAAACCTTTGTCTGACTTCCTTCATCAAAGCTATGACACTTACATCTTAATGTAGAGTTCTCTACATTTTTCAACATTACTATATTTTAATCTATGGCAACAATAAAATATTCACATAACACCATTACAAATGTATATATGGACCAAATTGCTTCTTTTTGCTTACCCATAGGACTCTTGTACCAAAACTACTACTAGTGGGCTGGGACTGTGGCTCACCTTGGGAATGGGTGCTGGCCTTGTGTGCATGATGCCCTGGGTTCCATCCCTCAGTACCACATAAACAGAAAAAGCTGGAAGTGGCGCTGTGGCTCAAGTGGTAGAGTGCTAGCCTTGAGCAAAAGCAGCTCAGGGACAGTGCCCAGGCCCTGAGTTCAAGCCCCAGGACTGTCAAAAATAATAAATAAATAAAACTACTACTAATTATTTTTGAGACACTGAGAAAGAGGGTTTTATAATTTTTTTATTTTTATTTATTTATTTTGTCAGTCGTGAGGCCTGAACTCTGGGCCTGGGCGCTGTCCCTCAGCTCTTCAGCTCAAGGCTAACCCTCTACTACTTGAGCCACAGCGCCACTTTCGTTTTTTTCAGCTTATGTGGTACTGAGGAATTGAACCCAGGGCCTCATGCATGCTAGGCAAGCGCTCTACCACTGAGCCACCTTCCCAGCCCTGGGTTTTATAATTAAAGGAATAGTTCACATTGTATGACTTTCAAAATGGATGGGGATTTTTCTCAAATAAAATATGTAAACATGCACTTGCTAAAAGCCTTCTTGGTAACTTTCAATCTCATTTTCCTTTCCTAAAAAATTATTAAAGCCTTAGGCTGTTTTAGACAGTATTGCCCTTGTATGGAATTTTAGATGGGATATTCTGAGAAACATGGCTGAAGGATATTGCTGATTGAAAAACCAACTTTATTATGTAAAAGGTATTAAGAAAAACGACTGAAACCTTGTTTTTAAGTCATATACTTGACTGTTTGGTGTTCAGTGATGTTGGTGATCTCTAAAAATTTCTTAAGGTTAAGTCTGGGGAGAAAAAAATCCTTATCAAACCTAGTGGGTGAAATCTGGGTCATGATAAGATTGCAACACAAGGTCAAGGGCAAGGATCACTTTCTCTGACTCAATTGGTTATGTTACTTTATGGTCTCTCTGTGCTATAGATATGCCTAAATTTCTCCTTACATACAAGAATTTTTTACCTTTATTAATTAAGGGTGGAGAATACACATAAGATGAGAAGCCACTGTTTTAAAAACAAATCAATTTTCAGCATGGCATTAAGAAAATTAAAGAGTAAGAGCTGAAAACACCACACAATTTAGGAACAGTTCTGGAAGAAAGTAATTCAAGAGACCACAAAAATACTGAAGACAGTGAAATTTCAAATGAGTCATAGTAGTAAATATGAAAGAATAACTTGCGAAAAGTAATCATCAACAGCGTTCATGGATAGCCTTTTTAAGACATGCATTTTTTGATTCTACATTCATGAAATGAGTTCTGAATACAAAGTGCATTTTCATTTAACTTAATACATATTATTAAACAAGAGAATACTTTTTCAAATATCTTTTAGATGGCACAGCCTGCTTAACATAATATCCTGATGAAAGGGCTATTATATTCTAGAGAGCTTGTGTTTCTGTGGTATTCATCATGCAGTACCCTATAATCATAGTCTTACTGTCTAACTTACTATTAAGAACAACTACAACTACTATACTATTTTAACATAGGGACAAAGTTGATAGCTTGTTCACTTTGGGTTAGGATCAGATGTGACAAGTGGTCTCAGATGTTCTTTTTAGAGCCTTAAAGACAAAGAACTCTAAAGGAGCACAAGTATCTTTTTGAAAGGAGACCTCAGGAGTAGGAATTTTTTCTTCCCCTCAGTAAGCAAGAGAGGGGGAACAGAGTGGTAAGTGAGGATGAAATGTTTTCAATATTGCAAACAATTAGCATGTAGATTCTTCCGACCTCTCCTTATCGTCCCTCCCCTACAACAATGAGGATGCTGGAGACACTGGCGGTGGGGAGAGGATCTGACCATACCTTCATGTGTAGGCTCTGGGTCAGGTGTAAGTGAGATGTCGTCCAGCTCTCGCAAGCAGAGCCATTCTCCATCCATGGACACTCGGAATTTGCAAAGGTAGATGGTCTCCATGGCAGCCTGTGTGATCTTGTCAGTGGTGGGGGTTGGCATATCGGTCGGAGGTGTCAGAGCGGACATGATGACTCAGCTGGGACCACAATACACACACACACACACACACACACACACACACACTAAATAAATAAAATCCTCTCAACAAAAACCCCAGATCTGAAGCTTTGAAACAAAGCGTTCAGGGAAAAGGGGTGGAGGGGAAGCTTTGAAAAACAAAAACAAGGAAAAAAAACCTTATGGAACCAACTAATCAATATAAGTAAGTGTACACTTATCTTTTCTTGTGGATAGCTCCTACCACGTAGCAAAATAAAATGATGTTTGTCTTCTCCCAGCGTCCTCTCCTTTTATCTTCTTTCTCTACCCCTTTTTCCCCCAGGCTTTAAACCCTGCACAGCCAGTCAATGTTGCCTTTAAAGAAACTGGCCTCAGCACAAATAAGTAAAAAAAAAAGAATGAAAGAAAAATTCCTCCTTCTTTGTGCAGAAAAAAAAGTACAAAAGGAGAAAAATGAATGAAAAATAAATTTGTATTTTCAATTTTGCTTAAAAAAAAATCTTGAACTGCAGAAAGCACTTCCAGGATCTGCTGAGATGAGCCAGGATGCTGAGTTCTAACAGGATTGGTTGTGCGCAGTAAGCAGGGTGTTGACCAAAATGGCTGACTAATGAACTGAACTGAAAATTCAGGCTCATGTGACCAGCTGCTCTGAGCACAGGGCAAGCAATTCCCAGGATGCTTTATAGATGCTGCTGATGCGGGAAGAGCAATTAGGCTGCTCTCTCATCCTGCACAACCCACTTTCAGACTGTGCTAGTCAAACTGTGATCAGACATAACACAATGCACATGTTCTCATCAATATCTCTCACTGTGACATAGAAGAGCTGAATAACAGGAAGGCAATTAATACCAGATAGTACTCCTCAGCAAAGATCATACAAAAGGCAATTAGACTAACCTACCAATATCATAATTCACTTCTATCTTTAGTTACATAGCTATTAAAATCATTTTAGATACCAAAGATATTTAAAAAAAAACTAAAGCAGATTTTTAGTATAGGTATCTTATTCTGAAGTATGTATGATTTGTTTCTCCAAGATATAAAGAACTGACTTGGCAGAAATGTAATAAAAGACTGAACTTTCCTGATTAATGGCAGTCTCCTCCCTTTTGATACTGCTGTATACGGCTGTGTGTATATATATATATATATACACACACACACATATATATACACATATATATATACACACACACATATATACACATATATATACATATATATGTATGTTTCTGAAGGACACATGAAATATATTTCTAAGCAGAAGGTAAAACTGTCGTATTTAAGAAATCTTCCCATCTTGGAATGTAGTGAAGCCAAATTATCTAGATCTAAGAACAAAGAACCAACATATACACAGAGGACTTACATTTTCCAATGAGGTATTTATACCTTGATAGCAAAAGTGCAAACAAGTATGGGTTGTCTCAGCTACACAATGGTAACGAGAGGAATACTAATGACATTCATTGAAAATGCTTTTGATAATTGAAAGAAACCTTTTTTTCTCAACTTCAGGGATTCAGTTCCAAGGAGAAACATATAATGTCAAGAAATAAATCCCAGTTGGTCGCTGGGGAATCTCGCCTGTAATCCTAGCTACTCAGGAGGCTGAGATCTGAGGACTGAGGTTCAAAGCCAGCCCAGGCAGTCCCTGAGACTCTTATCTCCAACTAACCACCAGAAAATGGGAAATGTTGCTGTGGCTCAAGTGGTAGAATACTCACCTTGAGCTGAAGAGCTCAGGGACAGTGCCCAGGCCCAGAGTTCAAGCCCCATGACGAAAGAAGGAAAGAAAGAAAGAAAGAAAGAAAGAAAGAAAGAAAGAAAGAAAGAAAGAAAGAAAGAAAGAAAGAAAGGAAGAAAGGAAGGAAGGAAGGAAGGAAGGAAGGAAGGAAGGAAGGAAGGAAGGAAAGAAGGAAAGGAAGAAGGAAAGAAGGAAAGAAAGAAAGAAAGAAAGAAAGAAAGAGAAAATGAAAGGAAGGAAGGAAATTCCAAGACTAATCACTTCTAAGGACTCCTATCAAAGATACCTTAATTTACTTAAATTTCTAAAAACTAAGAAAAGAATCCCCTAAATATTAAAATTTAAATCAATGATTAATTGTAATTTGAAACTGAACAAGCACTTTTGTGTTGTGAAAGCGAAGGTAGAATAGTAAATCTTTTTTTTTCTTTTTTTGCTTATGTGGTGCTGAGGAATTGAACCCAGGGCCTCATGAATGCAAGGCAAGCGCTCTACCACTGAGCCACCTTCCCAGCCCTGCAAAGGTAGAATAGTGTAACATAAAACTGCATATACTCTGATTTATTCTGTTGATTTTTAATGAGGCTATGTTCTAATAAACCCATCCTCAGTAGAAAATAGTTTAAGTCAAAATGCAATTAATATATCTAACCTGCCAAAATATCATGGCCCAGGAACACAATGCAATTTTTGAGTTATGATGGCTTAATGTACAGTTTTATGATAGACAAAAGCAATGTATGTTTGGTTGAAACTATATTTCAAATTTTGATCTTTCCTGAGCTGGTTGTATGTTATATGAATGCTTTTTTGATGTGCTAGGCAGCAGTGATGAGTCACAGTTCTGCCATGCACATGATCACCAATGGACATGACTGATATTCTACAGTGTAATTTTTTTGCTAGTCCCAGTGCTTAGGCACTGCTTCTGAGCCCTTTTACTCAAAGTTAGCACTCTACTACTAAGCCACAGCTCAGTGCTAGCTATTTAATAGCTTAGGCTTATTATATCCATTTTTAGGGGGTGCTACAGGTTGAATGTTGAGCCCCCAAAATGTTAAGCACCAATGCAGCAGTGGTACTCAGCCAACTCTATGTTGAAAATGAACTTAGGTAAATTGTGGGCAGGGGACCAGGAGGCAGGAACTAAAAGAGAACAAAGGAAGACTGGACATTGCCCCCAAAAGAAATGTACTCATTACCTGATTTATGAAACAGTAACCCCTCTGTACATCACCTTAGTAAGAACAAAAAGAGTTTTTACATGTTAAGAACATGCTTTACCACTGAGCTATATACTCCCATCTTTAAATATACTTAGGTACTTTCAACTTACGATGTGTTTATGTGATGTAGCCTCATCCTAAGCCAAGGAGCACTAGCACTCTGTGGAGTATTCGTTGTTTACCCTCATTACTATGGGGCTGATTAGGGGGCTGCAACTCACTGCTTATGGCTAGATTGGGAAAAGACTGAACTTTGAAACTCAACATGCAATTTCTGCCAAACATGTATCACTCCCAAACCACTGTAATGTCAAAAAATTGTAAATCAGGGACACTCTCTCTCTCTATATATATATCTATGCATATATATATGATTATTTATAATTGGGAAGAAAACCAGCATGTTACTAAGGAAAATAAAATACTAGTGCTTCACTTATTCCTATTTCAGTCTCTCCAGTATTATCCCACATTGGGAGTGAGAACCACTCATTCACAAAATATTCACTGACAGTTTCTCCAGATGCTAATTGTTGATCCAGGCACTAGGTATGCTGATGCAGTCTCTTTCTTTCCCCTCCCCACCCCTCCTTCCCCTTTTTCCTTTTCTTCCTCCTCGTCCTCAACCTCTTCCTCCTTCTTCTGTACTGGGGGTTGATTCAGAGCCTTGAGCTTGCTAGAAAGTGGCTCTACCACTTTAGCCATAGCTTCAGCCCTTGGCACTGGTAATTTTCAGAGGTAGGATTTTACTTGATGGTTTTGTACCACGCTGGACTGCAATCCTCCCGTGCTTCACCATGTCACGGGATGACCACTCAGTCACTCTATTTCTCCTGTAGCTGTGATGATGTGAAACTTTTATGTCTTTGCAAACTTCTATGTCTGGACAGGCTTGAACTAACATCCTTGGCTCCCTATCTTTGCCTCCCAATTAGCTAAATTAAAAGCCTGAGTTGGGGGCTGGGAAGGTGACTCAGTGGTAGAGCGCTTGCTTTGCATGCATGAGGCCCTGGATTCGATTCCTCAGTACCACATAAGCAAAAAGAAAAAAGCTGGAAGTGGTGCTGTGGCTCAAGTGGTAGAGGGCTAGCCTTGAGCTGAAGAGCTGAGGGACAGCGCCCAGGCCCAGAGTTCAGGCCCCACGACCGGACCCCCCCCAAAAAAAAGAGTCTCACAGACTTTCCTGCCCGAACTGCGATCCTCAGATCTCAGCCTCCTGAGTAGCTAGGGCGTGAGCCATCGGTGCCCAGCTTCATATTTAATTATATATAGAGTTCCCTTTTATTCAAACACATTTCCAATTTGTGCATTAAAACACAAAGGTGGCCTGGGTAGTTGTTCAAGCCTATAACATTAGCTATTTGGGAGGAAGGGCCTGGGGAATCATAGGTCAAGGTCAACCCAGACATAAAATTTCTCAACTCCATCTCAACTGAGCACACAGTGACATGGAAAGCATAAATAGGAGGACCTAGGCATACAGTGAAACACTACCTCAAAAATAACCCAGGCAAACTGAAGCTAGAAGTATGGTTAGAGTGTTAAAGCACCTGCCTAGCAAGTATAAAGTCCTAAGATTAATCCCTAGTACATTGGGAAGGAAAAAACCATAAAAGGAAATGGCTTATAATTTATACTAGTTAGTACTACAAAACATAAAACCTGCCATTAAATTTTTTTTTTTTTTTTTTTTTAGGTTGTGGGGCCTGAACTCTGGGTCTGGGTGCTGTCCCTGAGCTCTTCAGCTCAAGGTGAGCAGTTTACCACTTGAGCCACAGCGCCACTTCCAGCTTTTTCTACTTCTGTGGTGCTAAGGACTTGAACCCAGGGTCTCATGCAAGCAAGGCAAGCACTCTACCACTGAGCCACCTTCCCAGACCCTAAAACTTTTAAATTACAAAGAATATTGTTCCTAGAATCCGAATTTTAAATAGCCCTGGCTATCTGTGAGATCAACACTGTTGGTCACTGGAAATGGAGGGGTGACTCAGGTGGTAGAGCACCAGGCTTGAGGAAAAAAAAACAAACACCAAATGAGAGGCCCTCAGTTCAAGCCCCAGTACTGGTAAACACACAAAAAAGACTCTAGATCACAGATATATTCTTTGGTTGTTGGTGGTGATGGTCGTGGGGCTTGAACTCTGGGCCTGGACACTGTCCCTTAGCTCTTCAGCTCAAGGCTAGTGCTCTACCACTTGAGCCACAGCGCCACCTCTGGTTTTCTGGTGGTTTACTGGAGATAAGAGTCTCACGTACTTTCCTGATCGGGTTGACTTTGAACCACAATACTCAGATCTCAGCCTCCTGAGTAGCTAGGATTACAGGCGTGAGCCACCAGC